GGGCGGGGGTCGCGGGCTGAGCCGGAAGGCGCGGGTGCAGTGAGTCCCTCTTCCGCAGAGCCCGGTCGAGTCGCCAGCATGTCGTACATGCTCCCGCACTTGCACAACGGCTGGCAGGTGGACCAGGCCATCCTTTCGGAGGAAGACCGGGTGGTCGTCATTCGGTTCGGGCACGACTGGGACCCTACGTGCATGAAAATGGACGAGGTCCTGTACAGCATAGCGGAGAAGGTACCGAGCCCGCCGCGCGCCGCCGAGTCGCCCTCTCTCGCTCGGCCGGTCGGCGGGAGGTTTAAAAGCTGCATCCATTCGCTCTGCTCAAGCCTTAAATTTTAATGTGCGGCAAAGGAAGAGAAGACGTAGGGTTGACCTCGGGTGAGGACCAGCTCCCCGAAATTGCAACCAGTAGGTTATGTTTTTTGGGGGGAGAAGTTTCCAGTCATTACAGAAAAGTTCATGACCCCTTTCCCTAGGTAAATAACTTAATTCCTAGTAATAGGGTGTTTTTCAAAATTTGCATCTGTAGGAGCAGGAACACAACAATTTTGCCGACTTTGGCAGGAGTGTTGGAGCTCCCTTTAAATAGCTTAGTTTAAAAGGATTTTCTTTTTTTTGGTACCGTGTTTATTTGTTTTATTTATAAAGCAGAGCATTTATGTTAGTAGCATGGGAAATCCTGCTCGTTTTGTCGTTTTTTATTTTTCTTATTTATTTTTAATTTACATCGGAGATTTAAATGCAGGAACAGTCGGTGGAAACAGAATTGGGCTTTGTTAGATATGGTTTTCCTGATGGTTAAGGTCAGACACCGGTGTCTGTGGCACTTGTTTGCCAGCAGTCAGAGTGCAGGTTGTAGGGTGTTTCTGTGTAAGCAGAGCCTTAATTCTTTTTAAAAATTTCCTTATGAGGATTTTAAGATCACTTTAATTTGGGTTTTTGCAATTGCATCAATAGGGCAAAAGGTACGTATATTACAGTGTTAGTGAAATAATTAACTTACTACTATTTTATGAATGATTAGAAAGGTCATTTGAATGAAGAGTAAAAGTGGAAACATTGAAGCCATCTTTCATGGTAATAGGAGATGCTAATATAAACTGGGTTAAAATAACACCTTTGAGTAAATAGTAACAGAGGTAAAGATATACTTTGTATTTAGGAAAGGAAAGCTGATTTTTACTGTCTCCTATTTGGTAGGAGAGGCAGAGAGATGTAGGGTTGGTGGCATTATGGACATTGGGGACCGTTCTTCCATGTCAGTCATCATAAGTACCACTTGGAATACTTAACAAGTGCATGGTAGAGATTCCGGTTCCATGGGCTTGGGGTGAGGTCCAGAAACAGCTTCTTTGAGAACCTCCCCTGGGAATTGTGATGCGACTTTCCAAAACCCCTCAACAGAGGTCTGGGTTCAAGTACAGGTGCGGGGCTTGTTAGCTATTCCCAAGACACTGAGGAGCTTGGGGAGGTGACTAGGGAACTGAGGAGAGCTTTGAGTCAGGTGAGGTGGTGCCAGGGAATCATTTATTCATTGTTTAAGCTGTAGTTGTCAGGCAGATCCTGCTGAATTCAGTGAAGACTCTACCAAGCACCTTTCTGATAAGCAGATCATTAGTGTGTTGACTTTGAAATAGCCTAGGGTGTGTGTCCTGGATTCTACCTTGCAGGTGGTGGCATAACCACCAGGTGATGTCCAGATCCTGCTGCCCTCAGCACCAGGCTAGGAGGGCTAGAGATGTCAGGGTTGGTTGGCTGTTCCTATCTGAGCAAAACTCAGCAAGATGCTCTTACCCAGGAGAGAGATTTTATGCATTAATGTAAGTTTTTAGGGACTTTTGCCAGAGTGGTTCTTTTCTAATGCCTTCGTGTCAGTAGTGGACACACTCTTCTTGTATTGAACCTGTTCATAAGGACAGTTTTAATTAGGCCACTTTGAGTATTTTCCTTTGGTCTTTTAAGTTACCCTTCTTCTTTTGTCCAAAAATGTGGGTTTATTTTAATAAACTTTCAATATTATATTATAATGTAGCTATTCTAAATGCAAACTTGAAATGCATTATAAGGCAATTAATGTTTTATTGTCTTAGTATAAGGGCAAAATATGAGTTTATAACTCTGGAAGTTCTTTTCGGGAAGCTCAACAGGAATTTTTGAGATTTAAGGTTTTAGTATAAATAACAATTTAACTCTATTTAAAAATCTCCCTCTGCAGAAATGGCAGATAATGGGGGATCTTCCTCATCTTGTTACGAGCCCTGTTTGGATACCCCAGCTGTTTTAAAGTGAGTAAAAGTTCCCGGGTTCAGGCTGGAATGGGGTGTGTTGACTTGATGCTCTGACAGTGCCAGCCCCTCCTCATGCTGGGTTAGTTCTGAGCTGTACTGAAGCAGAGATATGCTTACCCATTTCACAGCTGTCTGGAAGTTGGTAGAGTGAGGATAACAAAGTTTCCTGTTTGGCAGTTGATTTTATGCACAGCTTTGAAGAGAAACTGCTTCATGCCCCTCTGAGCTGTCTGCCTTTCTGTAGGAACAGTTTGCACAGCTCGCTGTTACCTAAATCCCACAATGGATAAGAAGAAACAGATGTTTAACTTTTGTGTTAAAAAGCCCATACAAATAGAGTTTAAAGTATGCAGCACCTCAGTGAGACTGCCTTGTGATCATACATTCTAGATGAAATTGTATGTAAGGCAGAGATATTCGTGGAACTCTTTAGGAATGACTGTGGGGTCTTCCTGAGGCATCACATCACGTAAAGTAAGTGAACTAGTAGAAGTTGGTGCTTGGTCAGTGAGGAATTGATAGAACCGACAGAAGGTGTGTGTTTGTGTTTGCTGTGGATTTGTGTCTCTGCATAGAACCACCTTGCAGCAAGCCTCTGTGAGAAGCAGGATTGAGCGATGGTTAAGGGTCCAGACCGAGCTGGGTTCTGCCACTTACTGCCTGTATGATATGTAGGAAAGTGGGTACCAGTGCCTGACTCATAAGTGGTTGCAGGCAGAGTTAACATAAAGGCTCCCAAGACACTTCCTGTCACATAGCGGGTAGTATGTTCCGTAATCGTTAGCTACCATTATTATGTCTCTCTCACATCACAAAATTTGCAACAGTTATTGTGAGTAGAGCTAATCAGGGTACTTAGTTTTAGAAAATTAAGTTACCATATAATTTTTTTGATGGACTTGAAATGAATTACCTAACAATGTAATAATTAGTCAATTGACAGCCCAGAACATGATCAAAAGAATATGTGTATAAGAAAATAAGTTGATAATAGAAATGAAACTTGTACATATGGTTTTTGGTTTTAAAAAATACTAATCAACAACCAGTTAAGATTACTACAGATACAGTAGGCAAAATGTATTTTAATAGGATGCAAATACGTTTACAGCACCATTTAAAAAGATGGTCTCATGGGTAAATGGGAAAAGAACTTGAAAAAAAAAGAAATTCCCGTGGTTAAGTAAACTTCAAAGAAACACACATTAAAACAGTGCACTGTCATTTTTTGGGCATGTCAGAGACAAAATGGTAAAAAGGAGTTGGTGTGTGGGGTGTGCTGGAAGCCGTGGTGTTCAGGTGGTAGCACTGCAGTCACCCTGAGGAGTGCGGCTGGCTTTGTACAAGAAGCCTGACGAGCGGACGGTCCCACCGTTTTCAGTAACTGACCCTCTAGGAGACAAGGCTTTGTGCTCTGTGAGACCAGTGCTGTCATTTGTAGCAAAAGTGGAAACAAGCACAGTGTTCAGAGATGGCAGACCACTTAGGCCAGGCACAGTGCAGGCAGGAAACCGACAGCTCCTGAGCAGGTGCTAGCAGTCACCTGTCCAGGCTTGGAAATTGGGATTTAAACTGGGAACGTCCACCCTACTGGGTGGAATATTATTTGGCCATAAAAAACGATTTTCTACAGGCTCTATTTAATACGGTGGGGAAGCAGTGATGTCAGCTGGAGAGAAGCAGATTGTAGAAGGCGCCCTCATCAGCAAGCGTTGGGTCGGGAAGGGCACACTTACTTTTCACTTTAAAACATTCATGTGCTATTGGTTTATTATGACTGTCTTATGTTCTTTAAATTATATAACTTGTTTGAAAAATACTGGGCTGGATACAAAAGAGCAAATTTTCCATTTCATTTCTCTATTTTCCAAATGAACTTTTTTTTTTTTTTTTTAAATATATCTTTATTGATTTCAGAGAGAGGAAAGGAGAGGGAGAGAGAGAGACAAAAACATCAATGATGAGAGAGTCATTGATCGAGCCCGCAACCTGGGCATGTGCCCTGAGTGGGAATCGAACCCCGAATGCCTGGATCCTAGGTCGACGCTCAACTGCTAAGCCACGCCCGGCTGGGCCCAAATGAACATTTTTTTAAAATGGAGAAAAGATAGACACTTAGCTTAATTTCAGTTTTATATTAAAAAAATACACACAGGATTTTAGTTACCTGCAGATTCATGAATGGATGTGAACTGTTTGATGTTGTGGTTCGGACCATGTGGAAGGCGTCGCAAAAATACAGGCCACCCAAACCCACGTGAGGAGAAGCTTTGACAGAAGGGAGCTTTTCCAGAGGAGAAATGGGGGGTTCAGAGTGGGGGGCAGTATGCTCACATAGCTGCCCACCTGGGTGAGCCACATGGCGTGGCCCCTTCCTTCCTGCCAGAACTGTGGCTGTGGAGTCTTCTGTTGGGGCCTCGCCTCTGAGGAAGGGGGTGGACTTGACACCTCGTAAGGCAGATCTGATCTCAGGATGATAGAGTGAAGTCCATACTGTCCAGAACCACAGTTCTTAGTGACAAAAATAGGTTTCTTGAGTTTTAAATAGAAGTTTATTGTTAAAGTTCTTTTATTTAGCAAATATTTACTAGTGCCTTGAACGTGGCAGATGTTTGGCTCTGAGGACACATCAGTAAAGACCACAGACGTGGTTCCCAGCCTTGTGGGGCTTCAGATTGATCTGAAGAATCCGAATGTGATTTATTTTGAGGGTCAAACCAAGTTCTGTGGGGTCACTTAATTGGGGTTTATTTTACTTTTGAGTGAGCTACAGTTTTCTTACCATTGAAGGCAAAGGGAAATAAGGCTGTTTCTAAAAGCCTAGCTGTCTGAAAGGCCTCTTGGGCTTTCATTGGATCAGCAGCTTATGCTCCATTCAGGAGATAGGTGTGTGTTTTTATATTGTAATATTAACATCTGTCATTTTAAATAACAACTTTTATTATGTGGGAAGTAATAAAGCAAGAAAATGCTTTTCTTAAGACAGTACCTGTGCTTAGTGAGCTTTACATGGAGGCAGCACCTCAAAGACTAGCTGGTAACTTTCTCCAGGAGACAGTGTGGAGAGGAGCCTGTGGCTGCCTTCACCCAGCCCTGTCTGAGTGGCCACAGTGACCCAGAGTCACACTCAGCAGAGGCTGTTTGAATGTTTGGTGCTCAGCTCACATTCTTTAACTCAGTTCTCTTCATTCCACAGACACCTTCTCTGTCACCAGGAGAGGGAGGGGGATGGCTAGGGGACCCAGTTCTTCCTGCCTCAGCCTCTGAGTTCGTCAGCCTCTTGCCTCTCTTTTCATAGCCGAGCCCCTCTTGGCCACTATTGCAGCCCCGTGCTATCTTGCGCTTTCGAGCTGGCACCGATGACCTGCCGGTACAGAACTCAGCTCTTCCCCACCTTACTTGTAAATAAATACCCAGACTTCTGAAGCTGGGAAGGCCCCTGCCTGCATTTCCAGGCTCACCCTCCCACCTCTGACCCCCTGTCCAGGTGCTGCCTCCGCATCTGCCAGTTCTCTCTTCTGCCATTATGTTATGTTACATTACGGTGCCGCGCTCTTAGCCTGACGAGTCCCCACCCCACGGGCCCACCCCTCTGGGCAGGCGGGTCCCTTCAGGCCTTGGGTAGGATTCTCATGTAGAGGTTGGGCCTTGGCTTAATATGTCTCTATTTAGGGGTGTTGAACGAGTTAGAATTAATGAGTGAGGAGTGTCTTGCCCAGAGTGGGTTCTCAGTTGTTCATGAAACCCATCTGGTGAAATAAACATGTTCAAGTTCCCCTAAAGGACACCAGTCAGATTGGGTTAGGTAGGGGCCCACCCAGCGCCAGCATGACCTCGTCTTACCTGATTACACCTGCAGGGACCCTAGTTCCATATGAGGCCACATTCTGAGTACTGGGGATTAGGATTTCATATACTGTACATATTTTGCAGGAGGGTTGGGGAAAGGGCACAATTCAACCCCCACAACATAGTAATTCATATAAGCTTTCTAGAAGGCATTGAGACAGAACTATTTATAAGAAGCCTTTAAAATGTCATGTTCTTCTAGAGATTGTATTTTAGGAATTTATCTTTAGAAATAATGAAGCATGTATACAAAATTAAGGGTTAGAATGTTCACTAAGGGTTAGAATGATATTAATGAAAGTGAATTATTTCATGAAAAATTAGAAGGTTACAGAAAAATGGTAAAGTAATGGCGTAGACATTTGATGAACTAATTATTTAACGGAGCCATAAAAGTTGTGTTTTTGTAAAGTATATAAGAGAATGCTTGTAATTAAAGCAGGCACTAAATATAGCATGATCACTGTATGATCACATTTTGTTAAAACAGTATGAACAGATTTTTATTTACGTACTTACACAAGGAGCCTTGGCTTGGTGGCTCAGTTGGAGGAAAGATGGGAATGAATATGCTGAAAATCCCTTCGCAGCAGTTAACTTTTTGTTGGCATTGAAGGTGATTTTATTTTTAGTTTTCTGGGTTTTCTAAATCTTCTCTGATGATGCAACTAAAGAAAATTTGTTATATATGCTATTATTTGGTGTACTAGTCTATTAGTATTTACAAGAGTTCAGACCCAGGTATGTGGGGAGTGTGTGGCTGAATTCTACAGATATGTAAAGCAGTCATTCAGTGCACGTGATTAAGTGTTCGTGAAAGTCCAAGTTTGGAGAACTTTGCATAGATTATTGCTAGATCAGCGTGAATAATATACCTGTGGACGTTTCCTGCAGGTTCTTGTAACTCGCTGACCTGAAAAACGTTAAGGGAGGTGTAAATGGTCAGTGAATTGCTCAGTGTCCGAGCTTGTGGAATTGTTTTTCTGTGTTAACTCTCCTGGGAAGATGTTGGAGAGGTCGCTTGAAAATGTTCTATTATACACAGATAGTTGTTTTTGTTTTTAATGTGCTTTTACAGAATAAAAATTTGATTTCTTATTTTAGGTTTTGTTTCAATCTTCTTTACTTTTAGGTAAAAAATTTTGCAGTTATTTATCTTGTGGATATTACAGAAGTACCTGACTTCAACAAGATGTATGAGCTGTATGATCCGTGCACGGTCATGTTTTTCTTCAGGTGCGTCCTCTCTCAAATCTGTTGTTTAAGTTGTCTTCCTAAAGTGTTTAAACTGAAGTTGTTGGTCTGGGGGTTTAATGTGATCAAGATGCCTTCAGAGTCTTTTATTCAGAGGGAAGTCGGCTGTGTGGCCGTGTCAGGTACAGACTGTACCACCAGGCAATCAGCATGGTCTTCTGAGTAATTTTTGAAGCAACAGTTCCCGTTCTGGCATTTACTCAGTGACAAATCGCCCTTCTGAAATAACCTTGCCCAGAAACCTAGGTGAAGTGTAATTGAATGAAAGACATTCTCGTTAACATTTAAGATATGTTTAAGTAAACTGTTGATTAAAAATGCCCATTTTATTTTTTTATTATTTTTTTAATCCTTGCCCGAGGGTATTTATTCCAGTCGACGTGAGAGGGAGACATCAATTGGTTGCCTCCTGCATGCGCCCAGACTGGGGCTGGGGTCAAGCCTGCACCCGAGGTACGTTATGTGCCCTTGGCTGGAATTGAACCCAAGACCTTTCAGACCATGGGCCAACGTTCTAACCACTGAGCCACACCAGCCAGGACGGAAAATGTCCATCTTAAAATAACTCACTTTTAAAATATGCCAGTGACTGTTTAATGTCCCTTATGGTGCCTAAGAGGAAAACGTCTACTTAATTTCTTTGCTTATAAGCACAAGATCATTTTATCAGCTAAAACATTCTGTTGTGGACTCTAGTCAGTGGGTTACTGGCATGAAGAATAGAATTTCCCTAATTTCCTCAGGTAAGTTGGTATCCACAGGTCCAGTGGACTGTCCAGGGTGTGTATTAGCTTCATGTTCTGTGTAACAAGTTAGCACAAACTTTGTGGCTGAAAACACCACTTGTGAGCTTGGTTTCTGCAGGTCCAAGTCCAGGCAGGCTCCATGTGTCCCTTGGGGTCTCATGAGGGCATTCAGGGGAGAATCCACGTGACTCACCCTGATGGCTGCCACACATCGGAGTCAAGTCTGAGCCAAGTAACCAGAACTGTAACAGGGAAACAGGCACTTTTCATGGGATCCCTTCTAGAGGCTTTTTTTTGTTTATTGATTTTTAGAGAGAGAGGGTGTGTGAGAGAGAGAGAGAATCGTTGATTTCTTCCACTTACTCATGCATGTGCACTGACCAGGGATCGAAACCCCCAGCCTTGGTGTCCGTGGACAGTGCTCTACCCTGCCGAGCTCCCTGGCCAGGGCCCTTCTGGAGGCTCTAATGAGCATCCCGTGTCCCCCCCCAGGAACAAGCACATCATGATCGATCTGGGCACCGGCAACAACAACAAGATCAACTGGGCCATGGAGGACAAGCAGGAGATGATCGACATCATTGAGACCGTGTACCGGGGCGCCCGCAAAGGCCGGGGCCTGGTCGTGTCCCCGAAGGACTACTCCACCAAGTACCGATACTGAGCCCGTCACTGGTGCAGGGGGTGGGTTTGCGGGCATCACTTTCACCTGGAGATGCTGTGGACTCTGAGGCCTTGAGTCTGGGGAAGGACGGAAGGCTGCTCAGACTCACTCGGAGTTGGCCCTGCTGCTGGACTTTTATATTTTCAAGTATCTGTAAATATCTAGCTGAAGTGAACAAATACACGAGGATGGGGACGTCCCTGTGGTTTAGTTCTTTTATAGATCACTGGTTTGGGGAGTAAAAACTTAGTTCTTTACCTTTGAAGTGAAGTTCAGGGGTCTGTGGGCCACTGTTTTGCACCCTTGGCAGTGGAAGCTCTGAGTGTCCCGTGGCTGCTGGAACAGACCACATCCAGGGGCACGTAGCAGAATGTGTCTCACCTGGAGACAGGACGTCTGAGGGCCAAGTGCCTCTTCCCCACCCGCCCCGGCCCACCCTGGTCTCAGCCTTCGTCCTTTCCTGAGTGGCATCTGTGTCTACATGTCCCATTTTGATAGGACACCGGTCATTGGCTCAGGGCTGCTGGGCTCCAGCATGATCTCATCTTACTAATTACATCTGCAACAGTTCCATCTCCACATAAGGTCATTCTGAGATCCTGGGGAGATGGGGGGGCACAAGTCAACCCACAACAGAATCTAACAGCCTGAGTTCAGAAAGGATACACACTTAGTAAAAATGTACCTTATGCTTCGGGTTATAATAACAGTGCAATAACCTAACTTGGGGGGAGGAGGGGGCCTTCCTTTTGAATATAAAAAGGAAGCTGCTGCTTATTTCCCCTGACAGTATATCTAATGTACTTGAACATGCTGCATTCTCTGTGGAGTCCCTGAGCCATGGCCCTTCAATCCCATAGCTTCCTTATCAGTCTCAAGTTTCTCTTATAATTCCCTCCCAGGAGCATGGTAGTGATTGATTGGGATCATTCTGAACGTGTGTTGTGTGTGTGTGTGTAGCAAGGGGAGCATTGGTGGGGGGACACACCTGGAGCCCCCGTGGTTTCACAGCCTGGTTCTGCCACTTACTGAGAACCTTGAGCAAGTGGCTCAAGTCCTGGAAGTCCTGCTATGGAGTGAAGGGGATGCTAGTGACTGGAGAAAAGGTATGAGATGTTCTAAATTAAATTACAGGCCAGAGAGGGAGACGAGCAGTTAACCAGTTAATAGCTGTGGGCCAGCTGACAAAAGGCTGCTCACAGTCCTGAGTGTACTGGAGCTTTGAATTCAACCCTAGGCTTCTGTTAGCAACACTGGACCACTGCATCGTGCACATGCGTGATTTCAGGACTAACCAATCAAAGGTGGTGGCACCTGTCATAGAACTGCCCTGGGCTCACCTTTTCCTTCCCCCCTTATCTGTGGCTAATGAGAATTCTCTCAGAACAATTTACGTCTTCCCCCCAATGTGTAACTGCCCACCAACTCATCCAGGATATGGTCCTGTTTGTCTTCTGTCTCACCCTGATGCTGGTGGTTTTGACTTCATGCCCAGGAAGGACCGGGTCTGTTTCTGGCAGGGGATTCCTGGGTAAGAGTCTCATTGTAGATCATTTATAATAGCAAGAAAGTGGGATATAACCTCAGTATCCAAGACCATAGACTATCAATCAGCCATAGCCCTGGCTGGTGTGGCTCAGTGGATAGAGTGTCAGCCCTCGCACCTAAGGGTGGCAGGTTTGATTCCCAGTTAAGGGCAATACTTGGATTGCAGGTTCGATCCAGCTCTGGTTGGGCCTGTGTGGGAGGCAGCCAGTCGTGTGTCTCTCACATCGATGTTTTTCTCTCCCTCTTTCCCTCCCTTACCTCCCTCCCACTCTCTAAAAATCAATGGAAAAAGTATCCTGGGGGGACGAGTAACCAAAAAAAGAGTGTATGACATTTTCATTAGAAAAAAGTGTTTATATGAAAAGAGGTCAGGATATTAGATAACAAACAATACGATCAACTATATAAAATGGGTGAAAAAACATTGGCGGCTAAGTTGTGGTTGATTCTGACTTTTGAATGAACATGACATTTCATTTGCAGGGATAATTTATATTTTACAATGGGAAACTACATCTAGCCTTTTTGGGGTGATCAGGGTTATTTCACTCTGGCCTGGAGAGAGGGGAATTGGATAATTATTTGAAAGTGTTTCTACATACCCTGAAAAGATCTAACTGCTCACTGCCTCCGGGG